CATGTTGGAGGCCATCTTGGGTCGTATTTGTGCCATCTTGGGGCCGTCGTCGGGGCCTCTTGGGCAGTTCTGAGGCCATCTTGGAGGCTTCTTGGGCGCTGTGGGAGCGATCTTGGGGGGCTCTTGGGCCGTCTTGGGTCGTCGGAAAGCCGAGAAGAAGCGAATGCGGAAATCCTAAGGAAAAAATGATTTTGGCTCTTCGGGCCCTCCTGGAGGACCTCTTGGAGGCCTCTTGGGCCGTCTTGGAGGCCGAGGCCTCTGGGGGGCCGTCTTCGGCCGTCTTGGACTCTCTTGGGCCGTATGGGAGGTCGTCTTGGACCATCTTGGGCGGATTTGGAGGCCATCTTGGAGGCCATCTTGGGCCAACGCGGCCATCTTGGAGACCATCTTGGGCCATCTTGAGCGAAACATTTGGAGAATTGCGGGCCTTCCGGGTGGCCGGCCCCCCTGTGATGAATCAACAGGGGGCGGCGGATCGAAGACGCCTACGGCGAATCACCGCCGCCCTTTGCCGTTTTGGAAGCGCCTATGTGGCCGAACGTTGAGGCCATACCTGCCAAGCTATCGGACCATGTGTTCCCCGAATCGGTTTGGAAAGCCTTCGGGGAACACGTGGGCATCTTGAAGGTCATGTTGGCCGTCTGGAGGCCATTTTGACCCTTTCGGGCCGTCTTGGAGGACGTCTTGGAGGGCTCTTGGGCCGTCTTGGAGGCCATCTTGAGCGTCTTGGAGGCCTCTTGGGCCGTCTTGGGGGCTTCTTGGGGCCGTCTTGGGACCGTCTGGGGCCTCTTGGGCGATCTTTGGGGGCACTTGGGCCGTCTCGGGCCGTTGGACGGCCGGAAAAAGCAAACGCCACAATCCTTCAAAAACTCATGGATTTTGGCCTTTTCGGGACTTCCTGGAGGTCCTCTTGGAGGCCTCTTGGGTCGTCTTGGGCCATCTTAGGGCCATGTTCGGCCGTCTTGGTGGGTTCCTGGTCCGTCTGACGCCGTCGATAGCTGTTTGGGGGGCCTCTATGGGCCGACTTGGTGCCCTCTTGGAATGCTCCAGGGCCGTCTTGGAGGCCATCTTGGGCGTCTTAAAGGCCTCCTGGGCCGTCTTGGGGGCCTCTTGGGGCCGTCTTGGGGCCCTCTTGGGCCGTTCTGGGGCCATCTTGGAGGCCTCTTGGGCGATCTTTGGGCGATATTTGGGGGCTCTTGGGCCGTTTCGGGCCGTCGGAAGGCCGAAACGAAGCAAAACGAAGCAAACCTTGGGACAATACATGTTTTGGTCCTCTTCTGGCCTTCCTGGAGGCCCTCTTGGAGGCCTCTTGGGTCGTCTTGGGCCAGCTTCGAGCCAACTTCGGCCATCTTGGTGGGTTCCTGGTACCTCTGACGCCGTCGGGAGCCGTCTTGGGAGCCTTTCTGGGCCCTCTTGGGGCGCTTCGGGGCCGTCTTGGAGGCCATCTTGGGCGTGTTGGAGGCCATCTTGGGCGTCTTGGAGGCCTCTTGGGTCGTCTTGGGGTCCTCTTGGGGCCGTCTTGGGGGCCTCTTGGGCAGTCCTGAGGCCATCTTGGAGGGCCTCTTGGGCCGTCTTGAGCCGTCTGAATGCCGAGAAGAAGCAAATTCCAAAATATGTAACACCGAAGGGAAATCAATGGTCTTGGCCTCTTCGGGCCCTCCTGGAGGACCTCTTGGAGGCCCCTTGGGCCGTCTTGGAGGCTTCTTGGGCGAACTTGGGGCTATCTTGGACTCTCTGAGGCAGTCTTGGAGGCCGTCTTGGACAATTTTCGGTGGACTTGGAGGCCATCTGGGACCATCTTGGAGGCCATCTTGGGCCAACGTGGCCATCTTGGAGGCCATCCTGAGCCGTCCTGGAGAATCTGTTGTGGACGTTGAGGTCGTTTGCGGGCCTGGAGCTCCTTCCCGGGACCCCGGCGGGACGGGCCGAAGCGCCAGAGGGAGTTTTGGAAAGAAACCCAAACCAAAACCGTAAGAAGTCCAGCACGCCAGGCACCCCTGTGATGAATCAACAGGGGGCGGCGGATCGAAGACGCCTACAGCGAATCACCGCCGCCCCCTGCCGTTTTGGAAGCGCTTGTGTGGCCGAACGTTGAGGCCAGATCTGCCAAGCTATCGGACCATGTGTTCCCCGAATCGGTTTGGAAAGCCTTCGGGGAACACGTGGGCATCTTGAAGGTCATGTTGGCCGTCTGGATACCATTTTGACCCTTTCGGGCCGTCTTGGAGGACATCTTGGAGGCCTCTTGGGCCGTCTTGGGGGCCTCTTGGCACCGTCTTGGGCCTCTTGGGCGATCTTTGGGGGCTCTTGGGCCGTCTCGGGCCGTCAGAAGGCCGAACAAAAAGCACATGCCACAATCTTCGAAAAACATATGGGACATCAATGATTTTGGCCTTTTCGGGCCTTCCTGGAAGCCCTCTTGGAGGCCTCTTGGGCCGTCTTGGGCAATATTTGCCATCTTCGACCGTCTTGGTGGGCCCCTGGCCCGTCCGACGCCGTCGGAAGCCGTTTGGGGGGCCTCTCTGAGCCGACTTGGGGCCCTCTTGGAACGCTCCAGGGCCGTCTTGGAGGCCATCTTGGGCGTCTTAAAGCCTCCTGGGCCGTCTTTGTGCCCTCTTGGGGCCGTCTTGTGGGCCTCTTGGGCAGTCCTGAGGCCATCTTGGAGGCCTCTTGGGCGATCTTTGGGCGCTCTTTGGGGGCTCTTGGGCCGTATCGGGCCGTCGGAAGGCCGAAAAGAAGCAAATGTCAAGATCCTTCGAAAACCTACGGGAAATCAATGTTTGTGGCCGTTTTCTAGCTTTCCTGGAGGCCCTCTTGGAGGCCTCTTGGGCAGTCTTTGGCCATCTTAGTGCCATCTTCGGCCGTCTTGGTGGGCTCCTGGCCCGTCTGACGCCGTCGGAAGCCGTTTGGGGTGCCTCTATGGGCCGACTTGGGGCCCTCTAGGGGCGTTCAAGGGCCGTCTTAGAGGCAATCTTTGGCGTCTTGGAGGCCTCTTGGGTCGTCTTTGTGCCCTCTTGGGGCCGTCTTGGAGGCCTCTTGGGCAGTCCTGAGGCCATCTTGGAGGCCTCTTGGGCGCTGTGGGGGCGATCTCGGGGGCCTCTTGGGCCGTTTTGGGTCGTCGGAAAGCCGAGGAGAAGCAAATGTCAAAATCCTTCAAAAACCTAAGGAACATCAATTATTTTGGTCTCTTCGGTCCCTCCTGGAGGACCTCTTGGAGGCCTCTGGGGCCGTCTTGGAGGCCTCTGGGGGGCCTCTTGGGCTGTCTTGGACTCTCTTGGGCCGTCTTGGAGGCCGTCTTGGACCATCTTGGGCGGACTTGGAGGCCATCGGAGGCCGTCTTGGAGGCCATATTGGGCCAACGTGACCATCCATCTTGGAGGCCATCTTGAGGCGTCTTGGAGGATTTTTTGTGGACATTGAGGTCGTTTGCAGGCTTTCCGCAGGGCCGGCGAGACGGGCCGAAGCGCCAGGGGTAGTTCTTTTGGAAAAGAACTAAAAGCAAAACCGATCGGATTCGGCACGCCAGGCACCCCTGCGATGAATCGACAGGGGGCGGCGGATCTGGGGGCCTTCGGCCCATCCCGCCACCGTGCCTGGGTTATGGGTTAGAGGCCTCTTGGATGTTCGTTGGGATATCGTGGGAGGCCTCGCGGGGGTCTCCTGGAGGCAGTTTTGAGGCCTCCTGAGGGCCTTTTGGGCGCGTCTTGTGGGCTCTTTCTGTGCCTCTTGATGACCTCTCGGGGGCCTCCTGGGGCCTCCTGGAGGCCTCTTGGGGCCTCCTGGGGGCTTCTCGGGGCGGAAGGCTCTACTGGGCGCTTCATGTTCCCTCCTCTTGTGCCCCTCGCGCCACGCGGCGCGGTGGCGGATTGCCACCTGTGCCCCAGGAACGAGAAGAAGATTCGGAAGCAGCGGTGGAAGGCGCGCAAGCGAGAGGCGGCGGACGCCGACGCCCCGGCAGCCGCGGAGGCACCCGCCGAGACGGCAGCCGCGGAGGCGCTGCCCGCTGCGGCCGCAGCAGGGGCCACCTAGACGGGCGACGTGGGCCACGCCGCGCGGGCCCGCGCAGCGAGCACAGGCCGGCTCGCGCGGTGCCCGCCCCGGGGATGGCCCGGCGCGGAGCCTCTCCGGCATGCCGCACGGCACTGGCTGCGGGGGTCCCGCGGAGCTCGCAGGGGTCCGGAGCCGCCTCGTCGCAGAGCCAGATCCCGCGGGGTCGCGCAGCCACTCCATCGCCCTGGTCGCCAGCGGTCTCGGTCTCAAGTCATGGGAGCCAGATGTGCCCTCTTGATTCTGTCTTTGGCGTCGATTCGCGTCGCGACTAGAGTCTGGGAGTCGATGAGATAGTGCCGATTTAGCGTCGGCTATCGTCGATTAGCGTCGATTTAGCGTCGATTCGCAAGTGCCGACAAAATGGTATGGGCGGCTCCCATGAGTTGCGACCGCAAGCGGTGATACATGATGAAAGGCGCCCATTCCACCCCGAGCCCCCACTGCACCCGTTATATGCCCCACTACGACTCGTGCAGGCGTGCAGGCGCCGCGGCCTGCACGCTAGTCAGGAATTCGTTCGTAACGCGACGGAGGAGGAGTCGTTCGCGTGCCGATTGCCATAATTCGGAGCCGTCTGTGGGTCTGAGGAGGCCCAGCTCTGGTTCTGGCCAGCAGGACGGGCGGGCAGGTTCGAGGTGTTTTGCCCCTTGCGGCCTCCTGGGGCGGTTCCGGAGCCCCGGGACCGTCAGAAAGTGCTTGCTTTTCTTTGGATTCGGGCAAGTTTACTTGCATGGACGGGGGGGGGGGGCTGAGTCTGAAGCAAGCCGAAAACAATTCGACGAGCGGAAATCACGCAAGTCGAAAGGCACTTGCACGCTCGTGTTCGATTGAAGAGGGGCGAGGGGGGAGAGGGGGGGGGCCAACGCCATGCAAGTAAGCTTGCCTGAGGATCGAAAGAAAAACAGGCTCGGTGAAACGTTGTGCGAGATGGACCCCAGAAGAGGTCCAGGGTCGATGTTGGGCGGATTGGGCCTGCCCCCCTCCTGCCCGATTTTCTGGGGTCCCAGCCTGTTCAGAGCCCCCGGCCGTCTCCAAGCCATAATGGCGAAAAACGCCAAGCGAACCCCGGAAAGGCTTCACCGAATAGTAATTCAGATCTGGCAGCGCGTACTCTGAGATCGGCACGAACTAGCGCATTTGAGCGCTGCGCACTGTGCGTACCAGGCGTTTTAAAGTACATTTGAAGCTTTTGATTGTATGCTGTTTGGACGGCAATCGCACGCCATTCAGGTACGCATGCGGTTGTGACAGATTCTGGCCCTCCTGCCCTAGAGCCCGCAGGGCTTCTATAATGCTTTCGAAGTGGTTCGCGATTCTGGTCAGAAGCCTGAGGAGGCCCACATGGCCCCAGAGCGGCCGCATGGTGGACGTGCAGGGTTGGGTAAGCGATGCTGTGTTGTGCGCCGAGTGGACCACGTCTACCGCGCCAGCACCTGGTTTTTGTTCATGTTGCGCGCCGAGTGGAACACGTCCACCGCGCTGGCAACAGTTTTCCTGTCTGGTGGCAGGCGTTCACCGTGCCCCGCCAAGAGGGGTGCGGAAAGGAGACTGAATGGGAGGGCTCGTTGAAAGGAGAATTCAGCTTGAAGGGGGAACACAGCACGACAGTGTGACAGACCCAGCGGCAAAGATTCATGGCTGGGCAGCGTAGGGTCAGTCGTGCGTGTATGGCGCCCTTTCTGCGCCCTTTCCGCTTGCATGAATTGCTCTGCGAAGTCGCGCACAAGGTGCTCTGCCTTTGCAGCCAAACGGCCGCGGTGTTGAGATGTGCGCTCTGAAAGTCCATGCCCATGAATCTTGAGAGGCTTACCAAAGCTGTGGCGTCTCGTTGCAGGCATTGGATGGGACACCCTTGACGAAACGCAAACTCATCCGCTGCATGCAGCTACTCGGAGCCCCAGTCTGCAATTTCAACAGCCAGTTGTTGTTCCAGAAGGGAGTAGTTTTTTTTGTGAGGAAAGCAATGCATGCAGGATAGCAGTGCTTGCGGCAACAGTTGAGACAATTTTGCTGGCTGCTAGCACATGGATCTTGCGCCCACTTCGTTTTTTTTACGGCGAGCTCGGGGTGGAAGTGGGAAGGAGAAGGCCTTCTCAGATGGTTTGGAAGTTTTTTGGGTATTTCGAGAAGTTTTCTGAGACTTCCCCGAAGACACAGAGCATGTCTCAGAAGGCGCGAGGGCTTCTGAGAAGCTCCGCCACCTTTGAGAAGCCCTTCTCCTTTTCACTCCCCCCTTTAACCCGCCGCCGATTTTCTTGACGGAGTAGTTCCGGCGTAGCCCGCAGGCCCGCAGATGGATTCCTATGCGCGCGTTTGAACAACACCCCCAGGGAAGTGGTCCAGAGATCTCCAGAGGCCCATCGGAAGTCGCACGCAACGGGGGTCAGCGCTGTCGGAGGTCTTCCAAATTCCACACGTCTGTCGTTGAAAGTAGTTATAGATAGATATACTGATCCCAATCTACTTCAAACGCCTTCCTATTTCAAGAATCGATACGCTTTTGCTGTGTGTTGTTATTCTCTGGGGGGGGCCTGAAGCCAATCTATTTTATCCGCCTTCAAGCTTCATGTTTTTACCCGCATCTTCCGACCGATGTGTAGGGTAATTCGGCCTCCCAGATGGGGTCGGAGCAGATGGGGTCCGAGGATCGCGCCGCATCACAGATACATCGGGGTTGCAACTCGATGTGGAGCCCGTCTCTCTCCACGCAGGCGTCGCCGATGCATCGGCGGTGCGGCACGATCCTCCGAGGTCATCTACTCGGACCCCATGTGTCAGAGTCCTGAATCATCAGGGCTGGGGGCAGTCAGGGGTTGCTGCAGATCCGCGCCTCGGGGGCCCAAACTGGAGTTACACCGGACCGCAGTAGTATCCTGGATAATTCGGGCGTGCAACCTTTCCGAATCATCAGGGCCGGGGGCAGTCAAGGGTAACCACATATTCGCGCTTCGGGAGCCCAAACCGGAGTTACCCTGGACAGCAGAGATCCCAGATCACTCGGGCGTCCCAATGCAGGTGGCCTCTACCATCCCCATCTGGCTGACTCGGGTTGGGAGCCACGTGGTGCCGCTTCCCCTCCTCCTCCTCCTCCTCCTCCTCCTCCTCCTCCTCCTCCTCCGCCCTACGCTGACCAGGCTGCGGGAGCCGTTGCCAGGCCGGCCACGCTTCGCGGTGGGGCCCCGGCTGGCCCAGGCGGGCGTCCCCGAGCCCGCGAGCAGGGGCCGCAGGTTGCGAAGCTATTCGCGGTTCGCGACCTCGCGATTTACCTCGTCCTCATATCCATCGGTCGTTGAGAGTAGGTATTTTTGGATTTCCAGATTCCAATCTACTTTCAGCGCCTTCCTACTTCAAGAGTCGAGTGGTTTTCCCTCTTCCTTCCTCTTCAGGAGGCGTGCGGAAGCCCAATCTATTTCCAACGCCTTCCTACTTCATGTTTCTACCTACTTCTTCCGACCGATGGGTATCCTCCTCGTCTTCTTCGACCTCCCCCGAGGGGCGGCGCGAGTGCGCGACGCTGCTCGCGCAGCGCGAAGCGCGAGCGTAGTTGCCCTTGAGAGGAGGGCCTTTTCACGTTCCAGACTTGGGGAACCCGGCGAGAACGTGACCGAACGGGCGCGCCTCCAGGACTTCAGGGCGTCTTGATCGGAGAGAACAGACGAGAATGTTGGTGATGTTGATGATGATGATCAACATGCTGGGGATGAGGACGATGTTGGGGAAGACAATACTGAATATTATGCTTGTGGTGATGATGCTGATGATGATGGTACTGATGATATGATGGCGACTATGTTAACGATGGCGACGGTCGGTGATGTTGGTGATGCCGATGCTGAGGCGTATGTTGATGATGCTCATGATGAGCAGTACATCGATGATCATCATGGTCATGATGCTGGACATGATGTTGCTTATGATCTTGATGATGATGATGATGATGATGATGATGACAATGATGATGATGATGATGATGATGATGATGATGATGATGATGATGCTGATGATGATACTGATGGTGGTGATGGTGGTGATGGTGGTGTGGTGGTGGTAATGGTGACGGTGATGGTAGTGGTGATAGTGATGATGTTGTTGCAGATCATCATGATGATGATGAGTATGATGATGATGATGATGATGATGATGATGATGATGATGATGATGATGATGATGATGATGATGTTGCTGATGATGATGATGATGATGATGATGATGATGATGATGCTGCTAGTGATAATGAGACTGATAGTGATGATGCTTGTGGCAATGATGATGACGATCAAACGCCCCCATAGTGCTTCTTCAGGATCTAGCAGAGAAATAAATGCCAGAAATCCCAGCCTGGACTGCTTTCTTTTCTTGATGATTTCGAAGAGCTCACCTGCAATTTCCGCAACATTTGTTTGCCGCGGGTGCCCTTCGGCTAAATCTATAGACCATCCTAGCTGGTTCCACTCGTACACCATGAATTTGGCGCGCCTTGAGAAGGCGTTTCACTTCAGACTCAGGCAAGTTCACTTGCACGGCATTTCGCAATTTCGCCACTCACCCCCCCCCGTCCGCCGCCTCTTCAAACAGCGCTGGACCGAAATGCTGTGCAAGCGGGTCCAGACTTGCGTGAAGTCGAAATTTCTGTTCGGGCCTTGCAACGCTCCCCCTCCCCCTCCATGCAAGTGAACTTGCCAGAGTTAAACGGCGACGGCACATTCTTGTTCCAATCCCAGCGTTTGCGGTTAAATTCGGTCTCCGGGGGTTGTTTGTGTTCGGGCCCTGCAGGGGCATGAAAAAAACGGATCCAGGGCGAAACACCCATCACCGTCGGGGAATGGGTCGGGGCGTTCTTGGGGCCGCGCATTGATATCATATTGTCGAATGTCTGAGGGCGCGGAGCTGTCCATAGCCATCGCTTGGGGGATAGATCGTCGGGGGCTTGGTCAGGCAGTGGATATATATATATATATATATATATATATATACGTATGTTGTACTTATGCTCAAGTTTTTTCCAGGAGAGGTTTTCCCTGATGGGGGCTCAGTCCGCCCTCATCGAGACCTTCCAGTCCGCAGGGATCCGTGCTCTCGAGCTGCTGGCGCTGCGCCAATCCCTGATCTCGGCGGTGCCCCAGTGCCCCGCGGTCTCGCTGGCGTGCCCGCCCGCGAACGTCTCGTGCCCCGTCCAGGTCTGCCCAGCGCTGGCCTGCCCCACCCCAGCGTGCCCCGTGCCGCTGGTGAATCTCTCCTGCCCGCCTGCAGGAGTGGAGCTCGTCCCTGACGGGCTCGACATTCCCTCGGCCTGCTGGGGATACCTGGCGGGAGTCTCTGCGGGGCTCGGGCTGGGCGGTGCAGTCTGGCGGCGGGGCGGCCGCGTCGACGCCGAGGCGACAGGCGTTGGAGATCGAGCGCGAGAGCAGCTGCAGCTGATCAGGAGGCGCAATGGCGAGGGTAGGTGACTACGTGCTCTTCCAGTATGACCTGCCTGGAGCGCCGGTGTATCATGAGAGGCTCGTGACAGGGGTCTCGATCGGGGATCCAGGTCTTGTCAGCACGTACTCGCCAGATGGGGACCACTACGCAGAGTACACGACGTCCGACGACCTCAGAGATGTGCGGTGGTCGGGAGCGCAGGGCGCCACCCCCCCTGGTGTCAACCCCGCCCACGTCTACCGCTTCCGCCAGGTGCCGACGGCGGCCGAGGTCCAGCAGCTGATCCGCGAGGGCTCGCTCCTTGTCGGGGGGGTGGCGCCGCCTGCTGCCGTTGCTCCTGCCGCCGCAGCGGCGCCCGTGGCGGCTCCTCCCGCGGCGGCCGCACCACAAGGGGCCATCGTGCCTCGAGGCGCTGGCGTGGTGGGACGGGCCCCCCGCGCTGGAGCCGCGGCCACCCCCGCGGTGGCTGGCACAGTGTGGCTGGCTATCGAGGACTTCCAGGGGATGCGGCGCGGCGAGCAGATGCCTGATCCTCTCCCTCAGGGCGCCGTCGTTCACGGGGAGCTGGCGCTGGTGCCTCATGGAGGGGGCTTCGTCGGAGCGCGCCAGGTGGCCCTAGCCGACGTGGACGCCTTCGTCGTGGACGACCTACGCGTGCTGCCCTTGCGTTTCAACCAGCAGGGGGCGCGCCGTCGCCCATACAGCGAGGCCGTGGACATGCAGATCGTGGATGAGCCTGAGGGCGGCATCATGCTGCAGGGCCCTCGCACTACGGATTGGGTGCTGAGGTCGTATCGGGATGCCGGGCTCACGCCAGTCACTCACCACTCTAACTGGCTGAGGTCGGCTCGCATCCCTGATGGAGATCGTTCAGTTCACGAACACGAGGTGCTGTGCCATGTGCTGGAGGCAATCGTGACCGTGGACCAGCTCAACGCCCCTGCGCTCCAGAGCGCCGAGCTCGTCGTGCGCAGGATCCAGGTCATCGAGGACGCTCACTCGGCCTCTCCCTCGAACCCAGACTACTCCGCGGCCGACGAGTTCATGGGCTGGGCCACTCATCGCCAGGGCGCCGCCGTCGCGCCCGACCTGCAGCGCCACGTGGCCGCGGGCATGCGCGACAGGGCAGCGATCCTCAAGGAGGCTCGCAAGGCGAAGGAGGAGCAGAAGCTGCGCCGCGGCAAGGGGGGCGGCAGGACCGACGCCAGCGGTACTGGCGGGCAGGGATCATGACGGCTCCCAGTCGCGGGGGCTGGCTGGCCGGCCCGCGACGTACACAAGGCCTGTGGTGCCTCGGCGGCACGCACCTTCCGTCCTCGCACTGTTCCTGGCGCTGAGGGTCGCGGGGCACCGACCGACTGTGGCCGTGGGGGCCCAGCGGCACGCACCTCACGTCCTCAAGCCAGGGCAGGCTTCGGGGATCGCGAGGTGCCGACCGTCCGAGGATCGTGTGACATGGGACGCCCTCCTGGGTTGAGTGCAGCAGACGATCGCCAGCGTGATCTGTTCCCGCTGCCCTCCATTCAGCCGACTCCGCCTACTTCTGCGCCAGCGTCTACGTCGACGAGGCGAAGGCTGGCCCATAGGCGGCAGACGGAGCAGTGTGCCAATGATGCCATTGCGGGCCTCAACGCTCTCCATCCTCCGTGCGAGCAGCGTGGGCCCATCACGGCGGCTCAGCGACTCGCTACCGCCGCCGTTTTGAACGAGGTCAGGATGGCCCCGAAGTCTCACACTCACTTTTCTCGCCGTGGAGCCGCGAAGGAGCTCCTGGCCTCCAGCCTGTCCTACGCCGCGGACGAGGCACCGAGTCCCGTGGTAAGGTACGTCAGATCCCGAATCGACATCCCAGAAGTGGGTGCGGTCACACTTCCTGTTGAGTCGGTGCTCGACGGGATCGGGAGGAGCTACGTGCTGGACTACGAGCAAGCGATGATGAAGACTCCTGACGAGTGGTCCCGCGTCTTGGATAGCGAGCCGCCCGTCACTCCCTACATGGACGAGGTTTTGAAGCGTGACCCTGTGGCATACCACGCTTTCATCGGCGACCTGGTGAAGGCTAACATGCTGGGTTTCACGTACCGCCCAAAGGATTTAGTCACCCCTTTTTTCGTGGCCAAGAAGAGTGGAGCACAGCGTCTCGTCTGGGACGCTAGAGTGCCAAATCGACGTTTTCGCGACCCGCCGCCGCTGGCCATGGGGACATCGGCTGCGTACGGTCGCCTACAGCTACCTGATGATCGTAAGGAGGACGGCAGCTTCAGCACCAAGCTCTTCTGCGCCCAGGCTGATGTGCGCAACTACTTCTACGCTCTCGGCCTGAGGGAGGAGCTGGGACTGTTCTTCTCGCTGCCGCCGGTGTCGCAGGCTTCGTTGTCGCAGTGGGGGGTTGAGGCAGTGGGCACTCCCGAGGGCCCCTCAGGGGGCTGGGTGTGGCCGTTCCTGCGGGTCGTTCCGATGGGCTGGTCCTGGGCTTTCTGGCTTGGGCAGCGTGCGAATGCGCACGTCTGCTGCTCTGCCTCGGGGCTCGGGTTCCCGCGGGTGCTGACCGATCACGGTCCGGTGCCCCCGCTCGACGGGGGTGTCCCTTGCCTCCTCCCCTATTGCGATAACATCAACGTCATCGGCACCGACCCTGTCAGATGCAATGTCCTGATGCACCAGATCTGCGACGCCTGGAGGAAGCATGGCGTGCAGATTCACGAGGTGGTCGAGGCCACTGACGTCTTCACCAGCCTCGGCCGTCTGATCGACGGCGCGTCTAGGCGAGTTTTCTCACGGCCCGAGCGCTCCGAGCGCCTCCGCCAAGCTTCACTGTGGCTAGAGCAGCGCCCTAGAGTCACGGGGAGGGAGGTGGAGAGGTACGTGGGTCATCTCATTGACCATTTGATGCTGAAGAGGGAGCTGCTCTCGATCCTCAGGAGTTTGTATGATTTCGTCAGAGATTGCTATCACGTGCGAGCCCGTCTCTGGCCCCCAGCTGCCCGCGAAGTCGAGCAGTGCCGTCGCCTGCTGCCGCTGATGTCTGCTAACCTTCGGCTTCAGTGGTCGCCGACGGTCTTCGCTTACGACGCTTGCTTGACGGGTATGGCGACGTGCCAGACAACGCTGTCATCAGATCTTGTCAAACGTATCGGGTCAGTCAGTGAGAGATGGAGATATCGCATGCCTTCGGCTATCTCGGCACGCCGCTCTGCTCTGGGAGTCCGTTCTGGAGGCTACGAGGCCTCGGAGGGGCCGTTCGACGTCTTCAGCGACATCGAGACCGTCAAGGCCCCCAAGAGCACCAGCGTGGACCTCGCCAAGGGCCCCTGGGAGCTCAACCCGCAGTTCACAGAGGTGCCCGTACAGGCTCTGCAGGGCCCCCAGTGGAAGCAGGCGGTCTCGGCCAGGGTTCACGTCGAGGAGCCCATCACTATTATCGAGGGGAGGGCTTCGAACATGACATCTCGTCATATCACGAGGGCCCAGGCCTCCTTTGGTCTCCGTCATCTACGTTTCGGGGACAACCTCGGCACCGTGCTCGCGCTCGGACGTGGGCGATGCTCCTCCTATCCCCTTCTGCTGTGCTGCCGCAGAGAGGCTGCCTACTCCGTCGCCACTGCGTCGCGGTTCGAGCATCGGTGGACACCTTCGGAGCTCAACCCCTCCGATGAGGGGTCGAGGCGCTGGGATGCCAAGTCGGGAGGTGTCTCGCCTGCCCCGCGCGGTGTCCGTCAAGCGCCCAGCCGCCAGCCCCAAGATCGTGCAGAAGAGCTTTTTGAAGGGCAGGCCGTTTGTTGGGGCGACGAAGGAGGAGAGGATCGCTCACCGTCTGCGGGCCTCTGGGCCGTTCACGATGGTGGGGGAGGACGAGAGGAGCTTCCTGGAGTGGAACGCGGTGGCGCCCGAGACCCAGGCATGCTACAAGGGCGCCCTCGACGACTTCCAGACGTTCGTGGACCTCTTCGAGCTGCCGCTGCACACCGCGGCTCAGGTCGACCTGGCGCTGATGAACTACGCCGACTACGCCTGGAGCATCGGGCTCGAGAGAGCCGCCGTCCTGAAAACATATGCCGCGTACATCTCGGCGCACCCCGACTTTTCCCGAAAGGGGTCGCTCCGCCTGCCGCGTTTCTGTCGGGCCCTCCAGGGCTGGAGGCGCCTGGGCCCAGGCCAGACGCGCCCGCCCATGCCCTGGCAGGTGGTCGCGCTGGTCGCGCTGGTGATGGCCACGCAGCTGGGGTCCCCGCACGCGGCGCTCATGGTGGTGACGATGTTCTGGGTGTACCTCAGGCCCTCCGAGGCCGTCGGCCTGCGCGAGCAGGACCTCTTCCTCCCCTCGGGCTCGTGCACGGACTACGGCTTCAACCTGCACCCCAGCGCGAGGGGCGAGTACAGCAAGACCAGCTTGTCGGACGAGAGCTTGCTCCTCGATTCGGTCGAGGTGCCCTGGCTGGGCCCGCTGCTGGCGCGCGCGAGGTCGGGGGACCCGCAGGCGCCGCTGTTCCGTCTCACCGCCGCGCAGCTGGGCGTCCTGTGGCGCAAGTCGCTGGAGCTGGCCGAGGTGCCCACCAGGTGCGTGCCCTACCAGCTCCGCCGCGGTGGCCCGTCGCACGATCGCCTCAAGAGGTATCGGTCCATGGACGAGATCAAGAGGCGCGGGCGGTGGGCCTCCGACTACACGATGAAACGCTACGAGGCCCACGCGCTGGTGCAGCAGGAGCTTGCAGCGCTCCCAGTCGACGTCCGCCGCAGGGCCGAGGCGGCGCCCGCGAAACTGCACGCCGAGCTCGAGAGGCTCCTGGCGCGGCCCCAGAGGCCGCGGACGGCCACGCCGTCGGCGCGGCTGCAGGCGGCGCCTGCGCCCAGCATGCGCCGCCCCGCACCTTCTGCCAAGGTGCCGCAGCCCGCGCCCGTGCCAGGCCGTTCGTCGAGCTCATGTGCGGCTCCGCCGCCTTGGCCAAGGCCGTCCACGCCGCCGGCTGGGCTTCGGAAGGCTGGGGCTACGCAGACGACCCGCGAGCCGACCTTCTTGATGAATCCCTCATCGGCAGTCTGGTATTGAGGATCCCACGGAAGGAGGTCGCGGGGGTGCATGTCGGCCTGGACTGCAAAACGTGGAGCCGGGCAAGGAAGAATGATGGACGGGGTCCGTCGCCACTCAGGGACGATGCGAATTTGCACGGCCTCCCTCTGCTGGCGGCAGCGGACGCTGAGAAGGTGAGGATCGCCAATCGTCTGCTCGCTAATGTTCTGCGCCTGCTGGCTGCTGCCGTCGAGGCGGGAGTCCCCTTCTCTCTCGAGAACCCTCGCTCGTCTCGCCTCTGGCTTGTTCCAAAGCTGCTGGACATGGCCCGCGACGCTCACGCCGAGTGGGCTTCTGTTGATTATTGCCAGTATCAGGTCCCCTGGAAAAAGGCGACTACTTTTTTGCTTTTCAATTGGCTGCCAGCGCAGCCTTCCCTCCGCCTGTGTACAGGCTGTCAATAAAGGTGTAGTGCAACAGGTAAGGCACACATCACACTGAAGGGTAAAGACCCGCTCGGTGTGTTCTGGACTTCGAGGGCGTGCCCTTACCCTGCGGCGCTCTGCAAAGATCTTGCAGCGCTGGTGGTGGCCAAGGCCAAGACACTGGATGGCAGTGGGTAGGGGCTCAGAGTCTTGAATGCCGCTCGCTCAGTCCGTTCAGGTCAGCGCCATCGTGCTGCCCTGTCACCGCCTGCCGCTCGTTCTCTTGATCTGCTTCGAAGCAGCGGAGCATGCCGAAGAAAAAGTTGATCTTGGCACGGGTAGCAGCCTAAGCTCATGCGTTGTGCTTGCACATTAATGATCTCTTGCTGCGTTCAGTGCCGTATGTTGTACTTATGATCAAGTTTTTACCAGGACCCGCCTGCCGTCCCCATCTTCCACCTTCCTGGGCGTCACTTCGCCCCACAGGGGGCTCAGAGTCTTGAATGCCGCTCGCTCAGTCCGTTCAGGTCAGCGCCGTCGTGCTGCCCTGTCACCGCCTGCCGCTCGTTCTCTTGATTTGCTTCGAAGCAGCGGAGCATGCCGAAGAAATGGTTGATCTTGGCACGGGTAGCAGCCTAAGCTCATATATATATATATATATATATTGCCCCTTGCCAGTGTCCACGCGGTGGCTATAGCGTTATAGCCGAATCTCCGCTTCGAATGAACGACCCCGCGGGGCTGGCGGGAGTCAGGAGTAGGAGTCCGCGGTGAATGCGAACGGGGGTCAGCCAGAGCGCCAGATATAATTAGCAGGATCCTGCAGAACCACAGTTGCACTGACCTGTGTTTCTGCGTGCGTCATCTTGCAGGATCCTGAAAAGCCTGGCTGACCCAGGTTAAAAGATCCCCGAAGGAGTCGAGTAGGGTATCGACGACAGAATTGCTTTACCCCAGAATCCATTTTTGTCGTCGGAGCCACGGGACATGCGTAGAACGTCTCTGTAGATTTGCGAACATTCCACGTATTGTTGTTGAAGATTCGGCGTGGCGAGCAATTCTGGGGCAAGTCCATTCTGTAGTCGATCCCCTACTCGACGGACATTCCACGTTCTGTTGTTGAAGATTCGGCGTGGCGAGCAATTCTGGAGCTAATCCATTCTGTAGTCGACCCCCTAATTATTTGAAGCAGGAGGACGGGGGGCATACGTGGGCAGGAGGACAACAAGCAGGGACTCCTGGGCCTTGGCGGCTCGGGAATGCACGGCGGCGGCCAGAGCTGTTCGCGGGTGGGGTCGCGGTGTGTGCGTCGCGGGCGAGGACGACGACAGCAACAACAGCAGAACACATGTTACGGTTGTTTGCTCTCGCATGCTCGGATGCAGCTCCTGGGAGGTCAAAATCTGATTTTGCCCTGGTCCGAAGTCCGGCGTAATCCGGCGTAATCCCGCTCAGTCCGGCTCAATCCCGTTTACTCCAGCTCAATCCAGCTTTACCCCGGTTGATCCGAGGCCCAATCTGGCGTAACAGCCTCCCAATGGGGCTTAATCCTCCTTAGTCTTTCCGACGAAGACCTCTCAGTAGTTGCCTCCTAACGTATGCTCTCGCGTCAATCAACCTGCAAGCATTTTAGGGCTCTTCGCTCTCATCTGCTTGCGCCTCATCCAGCACTAGCCGCCCTCTTCGACTGATCGTACCCCCTTTAGGGGGGATGCTATCGCCCTTCCCTGGCGCAGCCCTCAGCAGGAAGAACAGACACGATGGACAAGGGAGAGCGCGGGGAAGTAGGGAATGTAGGGAGTGGGGAACGAGGGAAGGGGGCAAGAGGGAAGAAGGGAGAAAATGGAGGATGAGAGTTCGCAGGAGGGGACGACAGAAGAGTCTCAGGCGAGAGCGCCGAAAGAGCGGTTCTTGAATAAGATGCATGTGCGTCTCAGGCGGGAGCCCGATCCATGTGTAAATTGCAAGGGGAGCCCGCGCGAAAGCTCGGTTTCTCATCAGCTGTGGGAAAGTATTCGGCGGGAGCCGTTGCTGTAAACTTTGGGGGCCAGGGGCGCAGTCTGAGGTTCAAGATCTACCCTGTAAAAAACGATGTGCGGGTCTGGGGGGGCATTTCAATTGAAAACTAGAAGGGGGAGGAGGAGGATGAGGAGGAGGAGGATCAATAGTAATTATCGACCGGTTTTCGGCCGATCCCGCGGCCTCTCGGGGGCCTCTTGGAGGCAGTGTTGCAGCCTCTTTGTGGCCGCTTTTTGGGCTTCTTGGGGCCTTCTATAGGCCTCTTGAGACCTCGTAGGGTTTCTTGGGGTCCTCTTGGGGGGGCCTCTTGGGGTCTCTTGGGCGCCTCTTGGGGCCTCCTGGGGGCCTCTTGGGGCGGAAGCTATGATTTTCGGTTCGTGCTCCCTCTGGGGCCCCTTTTTGGGCCGTCTTGGGACCTTCCTCCTGAACGCGAAGTTTGAGAACTTCGAGGAGGAACGCCAAGTTAACCCGGGTACTGCTTTCATCGACTTCCGAGTCCATGCGAGGGAACGGATCGACCAGACACTAGCACGCTTCAAGATAGCCCGCTGCGGGGCTGAAACGGCAGGTTTAAACATCCCCAACTTCCAAATCCTACCAGTTATTCTGCTCAGAGCCTCACGAGTGGGGACGTCGCGTGCACAACAACTCCTACAGCCACTCAACCACCAAATGCCGAGGAACCAACAGCAACTTGATTCCCTGCTTGAACGCATGAGGTCGTATGCGAACCTCGCCGAGCGAACCCCTGGCAATATTCGTGGTATCTTCAGCCACGGTCACCGTGCCGAATTTTTTCATGCTGAAGCCAATGCAGGGCTCCCTGTTGCAAACGTGTGGAATGATGATCCCCAACCAACGGAGACCACCGCGCTATTAGCTCAAAAATATGGTCCGGCTACGGGGTCGCAAGACTCTTGGGCCAGATACCAGGGACCGTCGGCAACGGCGGCCCCTGCACAAGCCACTACCCTTGCAGGCTGAACGGGGCAACCCGCTGAGTCTGATTTCGATTCTGGAACCGACGCCGACACGTCATCAGACGACGAAGCGACTGCCCGAGACTACTCCGACATGCCCACGTATCTTACGGAAGAACAATCGGCTCAATGGGTGTTTCTAGGATATCAGAAGAATATACGCAGATGGAAACGGTGTATGAAGAAGTCAATTCGCGAGGTATGACGTAATAACCGACGGGCATTTAGGGGAAAAGGGTAGGGTCGAGGCATGGGTAAGGGCAAACGACGACGATTGCATGGCAGAGATACGGTATGGTTTGCATTCCTGGCATCCCGTACTGGACCACAATATGATGAACGATTCCTGAGCGCAGGCAGGGGGTCGCAGGCACACTTCAGGAAAGGGCAAGGGACGTCAGAGCAACCCGAAAGAAGTTAACGGTAACCCAATGGAATGTGACATCTGCCATAGCACACAACATTTCTGCCGTGAGTGCCCCCGAGGCGATGGGAGAGGCAGACGTACGTCGATACATGTGGCTCAAACCGATTCGGACATACAGTATGTCGATTGGGAAACTTTACTGGCCGACCCTGCCGACAATCCAGCTGCCGCCGTCCTTTTCAGGGCTGCCAGGTATTTAAGTGGCAGTATGTCCCTCGAGAATTACGTCGACGAGCTCTTCGGGGAGATATACGTTGGCCATGATGAGATCAACCTGGCAGACCTGGTTAGGCATGCCCATCGCGGGGCAAGCTGCGCAAATCGAGTTTGTCGAGGATCTCCATATACCCGTTGATGTAGATCAAGATATGGCGGAGGCACCTGCGGACTCTGAAGCTACAGTCCCAGCGACAGAAGAGGACATACAAATAACGCTTCATCCTCAGGTCAGTGGCAATCCGACAAACATGGAATCATGTGACGATGGTCCTCTTTGGGGGAACCCGCGAGATGCCGGCGGCCTTTCAGGGCGCATCCAGTGCGAAGTTTGACATCGTGAAGACCATCACTTAACGTTCGCGGCTATGAGGCGGTCTCCGAGCCGCCAGGGGCGATCAACTCGCCGCCAAGTCTGGAGACGCGCGAATCGCTCGGATGACGACGAAGATGAGTGGGAAGCTGAGGACGGGCGTCGCATGCAGCGCCACGGTCGCGAACGCAGCGCGCGTTCCAGCGGCGCTCGCCCCAGCGGCAACCGGCGCCCTCGCCCTCCTGATAAGGGCCCTGAGGACCCCGCCAAGGAGGGATGACATACCAGGGGCCCCACGGAAGAGGGGGCGCCTGCGGGGATACCCGCCTCAGAGGGAGGACCGCCCAGCCACGTCCCAGGCAGGGGGCGCGCAACGCCTTGTCAGCCGTGGCGATCATGAACTAGCTTGCCAGCATATACCCCCCAATGCAACGCAACGTTGGCTCGACCATGGCTGGGCCGAGCATGACATTCGTCGCTGGCATTCGCCGCTCAAAGTCGAGCGGGATGATAGAGGCAAGATCGTCCGCTCCAACAGAGGCGCGGGCGCCAAGACGCAGGGGGCCCTTCAGAAACGGGACATCAAGAGGGCCATCATTCATGACCTGAAGGAAAACTAAGGTTTTGTCGGTGCTTGCTATTATTTTTCCGACCACACCCGTTTGCCCGATGAGGCGTCCGTCAAGAAGCCATAGCTTCAAAAGAACACCATGGGTCTGGCCCCATAGCGATGGTCGGGGTCACGCTGTAGATCCGACCAATCATCCACCTAGAAGAACAGTTGACGGAAGATGACTAGCAGCCAGAAAATGAGCGCGAATGAGTTCGCGCCGAAGAGACGCGGGAGAACCATGCTCCAAATCGCCACCTTCAGACATGCAATCGAAAGCGCCATGCGGGGCAACCCGCTTCGTCCAAACAAGAAGGTGCCGACCAGCCAGAAGGTAGTGAAGGGGCTGGTAACCTGGTCCTATCCGAGGCAGTGGACCCCACCGAGGCTGCTCCTTCGCAGTCTGACTTGGACTATTCCGACACGGCCTGCGCCCCTGACACGGACCGCGACCGCGACGCCGATGCAATGATG